GGAATATGCTTTCTGTGCCTTTAGCCTGCACCTCTTCTACTTTGGGGTTGTTGGTGTCCTCTTTAATTTTGCTGATAATTCTTTTTTCTTATTATAAATTTTTAGAGGATATATTCGTAGGAAGGATTCCAAATAGGCTTATACTGTATCTTGGTTAGATCACCCCATTGGTCTCTCCCCCTCAACTCCCTCCCCATCCCACTCGAAGCAATTGCAAGAGGTTTCTTCATTCTGTTTCACTTAAGTATATGAAGTTCATCATACTATACCCTCACCTTAATCTCCTTCATTCACCTTTCCCCCTCCCACTACTCCCCCTGCCCCTGCACTATACCTATTCCACAGTCCTGTCTTTCATTATTAATATTTAAGCTGATGTTCAAAGAGGTTTCTCAATGTATGGGTATATAGTTGCTACTATATGGGAATGGGTATGTAGTTGCTACTGAGAAATTTAAAAAAAATTAGTGGTATTAAGGTTTGAACTGAAGGACTTAAATTTGCTAGGCAGGTACTCTTCCACTCAAGCCATACCTCCATCCTTTTAAAAAAATTGGGGGGGGTTCACAGGCATGTATTACCACAGTCGGCTTATGGATGGGGTCTCCCTAATTCTTTACTGGAAATGGCCTCACACCTCAGTTCTCAGGATCTTTACCTCCTGATTTCTGTCTCCTCAATAGCTAGGATTGCAGGTCTGAGCCACTGTGCCTGGCCCTTCTCAGTAATTTTGATACATTATTTTCATTTTCTTATTCTCTTTGTGATTTCTTCTTTGATCCCAGCATTATGTAGAAATGCCACTTAATATAAGAATATTTTATGATCGTTCAGGTGTCTTGTTCTGATTAATTCCTATTTTAATTATTTCTGGGCATTCTCAAACACTAAGCCCCTTCTCAGGATGGGGCCTGGCTATAGCTCCCTGAAATGTGGGAAGCGGCAAAATGTCTCTCTTCAGCATTGGTAGCCTGTCATACATGAAGAGTCACTGTCATACAAAATCCCTACATTGGATTTAAAGCTTGTGGGAAGTGTGGCCTTACTGTGACTAGGTTTGCTGTTCTGTTGTAGCCAGGATTGCCTGGCCTTCCAGTGGTTGTGGTTTCCACATCCCCACTCCCCATCTGAGGGAATGTTTTGGAGCTGCAGACTGTTTCCTACTTTGTTCTGCATAGCCTTTCTGTTTCTCCATGCTTTTCAGCTATCGGGTCACCTCTTTCATGATTTCCAATACTCTTCCTTTTTCTCATTTTTTAAAATAGAGTCTGTCCTTTGATGCCTTGACTCTTCTAATACTGACTCACATTAGTAGGGAGCTACTAATCCCTACTTTTATTTTCTTAAAATGTTTTTATTTGTGTTTGATATCAGGGTAATACTGGCTTTCTAAGACACCTTTGGAAGTTTAGCCTCTTCTTCTGTTTGGAAGACTTTGTATATAATTGGGGTTTATTTCTTCCCTAAATGTTTGGTAGTCTTTTTATTAAAACTTGAATTCAATCCCTTTCATGGACGTGGAGCTATTCATAGGATCTGTTTCTTTTTGATTGAGGTTTGCTAGCTAGGGTCTCTTGAAGTTTTCCTTTCATCTAAGTATTTTTTGGAAAATACTTTTAAAAAGGATGTTATTATATCCACTTCAGCATTACTGATATCGATCATTCCTATCACACACATGCGCACACACACACACACACAAACACAGAGACACACATACACACATCTTTTTTTTTATCAGATTGCTATCTCTTACATTTACTGATCTTTTCTGATTACTTCTATCAGTTTTCCTGATTTCTATTTACTTGATTTCTGTACAAGATATCCATCATTTTCCTTTCTGTTTCCCTTAGGTTTAATTTTACTTGTTTTAGTATTTTTTTAAATAGTCTTTTCATAGAACCCAGGGTAGCCTCAAACTCACGATCTTCCTATCTCAGCCTGGTCAGTGCTGGTATAACAGACATGTGCTACCACTTTTCTCTAGTGTCTCTAGGAGGCTTAGCTGAATGAATTGAGCCCAATCTTCTTTTCTAATGTAGGCACTTAAGGATATAAATTTCCTTCTATGCACTGCTTTAACTTTTCCTCAACTTTCAACACATTATTTCCATTTTCTATTTCTCCTTGTGCTTTTCTCTTCGATACCAGAATTATATAGAAACGCCATTGAATATAAAAATATTTTATGATTTTTAGATGTCTGGCAGCGACTTAATTATTTGTGATCAGAGGACTTTTTTTTAATGATCTCAGTCCTTTTGAAGATGTTGTGATTTACTTTATGGCCCAACCTATGGTCTATATTGGTGATTACTGTATGTGAATGTCAGAAGAATGTATATTCTGCTATTGTTGGTCCATAAGTATCAATTTCGTCAAGTTGGCTGGTAGTGGTAGACTTATATGTATTTCCTGGTTTTTGTCCACTTCTATATTTGCTAATAGTAAATGTGCATCTCCAAATACAATGTGGATTTGTGTATTTCCCTTTTGTGTTGTACCGCTTTTGAGCGCTTGTATTGGGAAGATGCACACACTTTCACCATTTTTGTCTTTTTGATGAGTGGGTCTATCATTTTGTAACACTCATCTTTATCCTCTGTAATATCATCTTCTCATATTAAATTGGCCGTACATCTTTCATTTGAATCATGTTTGCTGTGTATATCATTTTCCATCCATGTACTTTGAATTTATTTATAAATAAAGTAGGATTTCTTTGTCAGTGTATACTTTTCAGTCTTGCTAGTTTGATCCAAACCGACAAACTGGGCCTTTACATCGACATGTACAATTTCTTCCCATTTCTGTACATTTTTCTGTACATTTAGTGTGTAAACACTTTACATTTAAATCTACCATATGGCCATATTTTACTACTTACTACATTTTCTTTAGACTTTCGTATTCCTTTGCATTGAGTTGGTTGAGCATTTTCCTTGTGGCATTTTCTCTATACAAGTGGCTTGCTACTTATACATCTTTTAAAACACCTTTTTCTTTCCCTCCTTTGTTTCTTTTTTTCCTTCTTTATTTATTGGTGGTATTGGCGTTTGAAAGCATGGCCTCACACTTGCTAAGCAGGTGCTCTACCTGTGAGCCACTCTGCCAGCCCTTTTATTGTGTCGAGTATTTTTGAGATGGGGGACTTTAACTATTTGCCCTGGCTGGCCTCAAAACTGTGATCCTCTTTATCTCTGCCTCCTGTGTAGCGAGGATTACAGGTGTGAGCATTCCTTCCTTCCCTCCCTCCCTTCCTTTCCTCCTCTACTTGTTGTTGGCACTGGAATTTTGGACTGAGGTAGGCATGTGCTCTAGCACTTGAGCCACACCCTCAGCCTTTAAAACATTTATTTTCTAGTATGTGCTTTAGAGCTTACAACATGTATTGCTTCTTCTTAAGAGCAGTATGTCTTCATGTAGTATTCTCCCATTTCACTTATATTGCAAAAATCTTAGGCCTATATACATCCACTTCCTTTCTCCCATCCTTTGTGCTTTGTTACCCTGCATTGTATTTGTACACATATCAAAACCTCAAAATACATTGTTACTGGCAATTTTCTTTCTAAAAGGTTAGCTGTCAAGTGGTAGACCCTGCCTAGCAAGCAGAAGGCCCTGAGTTCAAACCCCAGTACTGCCAAAAATAAATACGAGTCAGTCAATAGATAGTTTAGCTGTAAGCAAAAAACTTGTATGTTCCCATGGTCTTGCTGTTCACAATTGTGTTCTTTATGTAGATCAAAATTTCCTTCTGGTCAAAGAGCTTCTTTTAAAGATCTGCTGACATTGACTTTTTGTCAGCTTGGTTGAGTGTTTAAACATTTTTGTTTTGGTGGTATTGGCATTTGAACTCTGTACCTCACATCCGGTAGGCAGGTGCTCTACCACTTCAGCCCTACACCACACCTGTTTGAACATTCTCTTTTCACCTTCATTAAAACTGTTTAGGCCAGGTGTGGTGACACACTCCTGTAATTCTAACACTCAGGAGGTTGATGCCAGGATGATAGCATATTCAAGGTCAGTCTAGGTTACAGTCTTGAATTTTTTTTTTTTGATTAGGACTGGGGATGTAGTTCTGCAGTTGAGTATTGCCTAGCACGATGGAGGCCCTAGGTTTGATCCCTCGCACTGCAGAAATAAGGAAAATATGAAAAACGTGCTGAGTAGAATATTCTGGGTTGTTAGATACTGATGAGAAGTCTGACAACCTTACATTTGTTCCTCTGTTTGTAGTATGTTTGTTTTGGTTTTCTATCATGGCATGGGTGTCCGTGTCCTTAGGGAAGTCAAAATTGAAGACACAATGGCTTATGATGTCAATCCTACTCAGATGGCTATAACTTTTTGAACCGATAATAAATGCCAAGGACAATGTAGATAAACTGGAATCCTCATACACTGCTCTTGGGATGCAAAATGGTCCAGCTGCTGTGGAAAACAGTTTGGTATTTTCTCAAAAAGTTAAGCATAGAGTTACCATATGACACAGCTGGTCCACTCCTGGGAGCATGTTTATATAAAAACATGCACAAGAATGTTCATCAGCAGTACTATTTATAATATCCCCACAGGAAAATGACCCAAATGGCCAAATAAACCAAATGTGGTAGGTAGTATAGCCATATAATGGAATTTTCAGCCATAAAAAAAGAATGAAGTACTAACTGGCTGTGGTAGTGCATGCCTGCAGTTCCAGCTATTCAGGAGGCTGAAGTGAAGACTCGAGTCTAGGAACTTCAAAGCAGCCTGGGCAACATAGTGAAACTCTGTCTCAAAAAATGTATTAAAAATGAATGAACTACTGATACATGCTACAGAACAGATGAAATTGAAAGTCATTATGCTACATGAAAGATTCCAGAAGCAAAAGAACAGAACATATGATTCTCTTTGAATAAAATGTCCAGAGATGACATATCCAGAGATAGAAAGCAGGTAGTTACAGAAATGACAAGGGACAAGGGCAGAGGAGAATGGGGAAGCACTGCTATCAGTGTGGGATATGTTGTACGTCTTAATCCATTCTGCTGTAGTAACAAAATAACCCAGACTGTAATTTATGAAGAAAAGAAGTTTATTTTGGTACATGGTTCAGAGATCCAAGCGTATGGCACCAGCATCTGCTTGGGTTCTGGTGACGGTCTCATGGCCGTGGTGAGAGCACTAATTCACTCCATAACAAATACATTCCTGTAAGAGAAACAAGAATCCAGTCATGAGGACGCTGCCCCATGACCCAAACACTTCTTCAAGGTCCAACCAACACTGCAACATTGGGGACCAAGTCTCAACATGAGTTTTGGTGAGGACAACTCATATTTAAATCACGGCATTCTGGAATTAGTTAGTGTGATGGTTCACAACCTTGTGCATATACTAGTCCAATGACCTGTCCAATTCCAAGGCGGATATTACTGTGCTTTCATTACAGCTACAAAAAGGGAAAGCACATGCGCTTGCATTATTTCTGGACATTCTTGGCCAAAACAGTGTGGTATACACCAAATGACGTAATAAGCGGTCCACCTCTTGCCTTTAACCATCATGATCAGTGGTCACAAGGTCACCAGTTTAGCTACTTAATGTCTTTGTTCTCTGCGTTTACAAACACTCTGTGTGCTCACTCCCACATACACACACTGGGTAGGTGTGAGCACCTCCTGATCACTACTCCCCATTAATAGCATGGCATGGAAAAAAGCTCTGTAGCCAAGACAAACTGGTTTCCCTCTGGTTCAAGGTCAGTGACACAATATGAACACTTCATCTCTCACTTCACCTTCCACTGGTTGCTGATTATTAGTGGGCATTTAGTCTTTTTGTCCCCCCTGCTGTTTCCTCCTGCCATCACAGTACACACAGCTCTGTGCATGTGTGAAGCGTACTCTAGGACCCATACTTAGGCGCTGCAATTGCTAGGTCAAAGGATACTTTCCTTAAATACCAACAAAGAGCCTATTGTGTGCCTCACACTGTTCTCAGGGCTGGGGGCAAAATCACAGAATAAGCCTGAGAAACTCCCCTTTCTACCTATGGTGGAGGAAGGTGACAGAATTTTAATTTTGATAGATGCCGCCCCAGAGCCCTGCAATGTTGCTTTACCAATTGACACTTCAGTCAGTGGAGTAAGGAGATGAAGCCCCTTTCCTGGCATCCTCGGCATCACTCCTGGGGCAGGGGCTGGATTGTGTCCTATGCTCTCTACAACATCATGAGTCTACAACTGGACAGATCCATTAAGAGTCCTTAGCAGAAGTAAGATGGGGATGGAACAATCCACTGAGGAGTGATGGGGTCACGAATGCAACCTCCAGGGAAGAGGGAGAGGGGCGGGAGGTGGTGGATGGAATGACCCATTGGAGTCGTGAAACTGCCCCTTCTGGGAGAATAACCAGAGACTGGACACTGAAGAGAGGGCACAGGTTGCTTGAGGAATGGTAGATGGAATCGTCCTCTGCTGCAACACACCATGAGGCCCAGAGGAAGCAGCCCTCCCTAGGAAGGAGCACTGGTAAGTGGAGACTTGTATTTCCAAACATTGTGTGCTGTGTGCAAGGGGCTCTCCACCATACAGGAACCTCCATACCTCCACTCAGGGTGAGGCCTCCATGACCCGGGATGTCACCTTCATCCCATCCCCGGCCAAGTTGGCTCTCTAGGTCCAACTCAAGCCAGAGCCATGGATGAGGACAAGAAAGCCAGTGGAGCAGGTCGGAGATTAAGGATGACACTAAAATCATTTTCATCAAGAACCATTTTCATTGCCTACTCAGGATCTCCAGGGTAGAGAAGCTCATGGCCTTGGGGGTGGCTGCTGTCCTGCTTTGGGAGGTTACACACACAGGGGTAGAGCTTAAAATAGTGCGGGTAGAGGTGAAAGTGGACAGGTCAGGATCCTGCCTGGGAACCTCAGCCCACTCCCAGTAAATGGCTGAAGGTGCTACCAGGTCACTGGGGTCACTGGCTTGTTCTATTTTGTCTTCTGGTCTAGCCATCCATTCTCTTTTTACAAATACTCATTAGGTTTCCATTGCATTGACCTCAAAGTCCAGTGATCAGTTGAAAACCACATTGAGAAGACCCTTCAGCATAAAGCATGCCCCCCACAATACCTGTGGGTCCTAGATGGGCAGAGACCCTTCCCTGGCCAAGGTTCCTTCAGGAAGATGGTGACTTACTTGCTCAACACAAGGAAGTAAACGCGTAATGACGGGAGATGTTTGGGTCCACGTAGGTTAAGTAGGAGGTAGGTAGGTTCTCAGGTCAGTGATTTTTCACCAGGCCTTTCTATTATGTCCCAGCTGCACCCAGTACTCCGCAGGGAATGCTGCAGGTATGAGACTGCGGGTGTGTTGTGCAGGGTGAGAGCAGATCTACCAGGGGATCAGAGATGGGCCAATGTATACGACCCCCAGAAGGATGACACTGAGCAGTCAGGCCACATCAGCCTAGGTCCCAAAATGCCTCAGCCTCCCACCTTTGACTGCCCTTCAGCAAAGAGCACCGCCCTAGAGCCGCTCTCATGGCGGGGTATGGGGGGATCTGTGTGCCTTCTCGATTTGCACAAACCCTGTAGCAAAAGCACAGAGCCTTAGAACCCTCGCCCCCTATAACGCCTGGGTGAGGAACTGAGAGGAGAGGGGCAGGCATATATTGAGGGTGAGGACAGGGAGGATAGGAAGATGAGGGAAGGGGAATGGGTGTAGGGTGGTGTGCCCCTCAACATCAGCCCCTGGCACTGAACTGTGATCTCCCACGCCATTTCCAGTTCATTCACTCACTCTCAAAATAGTTGCAGGGGGTCTTTTGTTCAGGGCTGAGGAGGGCAGAGGAAACCAGGGGGTGACATGGAACCTGGATCCACATGCTCAAGAGATGGAAACAGGACGACCTGCAAAGCAGTCCACAGGGCTGCAGAGGCCTGTTGCCAGAGGTGCTAGCTCGGGACCAGCCTGATCCTCAGCTCCCCACACGCAGACACCAGCTCTGCAGCACAAGGGCAGCGAGGCTGCCCCTCGAGAACACACAAACCCTCCAAACCTAGAAGGCATGTCCACTCTGATGGGTATGAAGCACCACTGTGTGTCAGGACTGAGTCCTCCGCCCTGGGGTGTGTACCAGGCCCAGCCCAGCCCCAGCTCAGTCACTGCCCAGAAACAGTCTCTGATAGTAGAACCTGGGGGTCTTTGGCCCCTGGAAGAAAAGAGAGGCTATCCAGATGCCTAGACCAGGGTCCCGAGGAAGGGGCTAACTGGGTGAAGACCGCTCCCTAAGCCTCATTCTCTCCTTCCCCCCATCCCTTTCCTTTTGTCTGTGTCTCATTCAGGAGGCTCGTGACTCCTCACCATGGCTCAACTTGGCATGTCAGCAAATTTAGCATGGGCCACCCCCATACAGGGTGACTTTGTGGGTGTCTCTGTGGCAAGACATCATGTCTGAGTTGTTTCATAGTCTGTATCCACGCTGTGATGTTGCTCACCCATCTGGAGGTCTATGTCACAGGTTGAGCTGCATGAGCTATTTTGGGGTATGCATCTAGGACATGAGGCCTCTGAACCATGGAGGGCTTGGGTCCAGGGTGGTTAGGGGTGTCTGTCCTGGTGTGAGGCATCTTATCTGTTTTAGGTGCTGTGCCTAGTATACACGTTACCTGCACAGTTCCTATTGTGTATTTCGAGAATTAGGGTTTGCGCTCTCCTTAGGGCTGATATACAGGATATGATAACTTTGATACCCTTGGGGTTCCATGTAAGATCACAGAGGTTATGCAAAACACAGGTGTCTGGGTCTGTTGAGTTCTGCATCATGAGTGTGACCTCTGAGAAGGGGTTAGAAGTCAGGAGGAACTGGGCTGGTACACAGCCAGCCCAAGCAAAAAGTTAGCAAGACCTCATCTCAACAAAAAAGCTGAGTATGGTGGCACGTGTCTGTGGTACCAGCTACAAGGGAGGCATATGCAGAAGGATCTCTGTCCAGGCCTGCCTGACCAAAAAAAAAAGCAAGCCCCTACCTGAAAAATAACTAGAGCAAAAAAAAAGGTGGGTGGGTGTGGTCCAAGGGGTAGAGCACCTACCTAGGAAGTGGGAGGCCCTGAGTTCAAACACCAGTAAAGCCAAGAGACAGAGAAAGACAGACAGGGAAAGAGAGGGAGAGAGGCAGGGAGGGAGGGAAGGAGGGAGGGAGAGAGAGGGAGGGGGAGGGAGGAAGGGAGAGAAGGAGAGGGAGGGAGGGGGAGCGAGAGAGGCAAGGAGGGAAGGAGGGAAGGAGGGAGAGAGCAAGGGAGGGAGAGAGGGAGAAAGGGAGAGAGAGGCAAGGAGGGAGGGGGGGAGAGAGAGAGAGAACACTTCAGGGTCCAAAGTAAAGGCAGGTGGTCTCAAGTCCCAGATGGCACAGCCACAGGACAGCAGTTGTGCTACAGCTGGATGCAGTTAGACAGGAACCCAGCCTGAGTTCAGGGAGGGTGGCTTCACGTGGGGTCAGTGGGGTCTCACAGTCTAGTGCGCAAACAGAAATGTCCCTTTGAGCCACAGATGCTTGCAGAATGTCTTCTCTAAGCTGGGCACTGCTCCAGGTGTTGGGATACATCGGTGAGAAAACTGGAGAAATCCCTGTCCTGGATTCAGACCCGGATGGGTAGGGGCAGACAGTAAAGCTTCAGAATAATATCTGGCAAATTGTACAGTTATGCTAGAGAGTGAGGGCTGCTGTTGTAAAAAAGACAAGTTGTTTAGATCATGGGAACAGCATGGGAAATATGGGAAGGAACCAGGTGAGCTGCAGGTTAGAATATGAAACAGCATCAGAGTGAGTGAAGGTGAAATTCTGATGTAAACGTTAAGGGGGACGGTCAGCCAAGCAGGTATCTGGCACCAGGGCCTTCCAGACACAGGAAACAGCTGTGGAGGACAATCTGAGGCAGAGCCCACCAGGCACAGTGAGGATGCTAAGGCTGCAGGGAGCTGGAGGGAGCTTGAATGGAAGGGGTGGGGGGCAGAGGACCAGGACACTGTCAGGTGGAGAAGCTTTTGCTAGACAGAAAAGGATAATGGAGGGTCACAGATGCTGCAGGCAAGTCTGTGTGTGGCTACAAAGCCCAGGAGAAGTAGGGACATAGGGAAAGAGCAGTCAGCAAACAGGAGGGTCTGAGCCAAGAGCTAGGACTGCAACCAGGTGAGGATGAATGACTCATA